TTTGGCCGGGAAGCGAAAAAGACGAAGTCCCTGGGGACAGTTCAGTAGTATTTCAGAAAGAGCTTCCACGAAATCCAGCCCAAACTCAAGCTCCGTCCCAGCCGAACACTTCACCACCAGAGAACCCATAGATAGCCTAAACTCACTCATGATCCACCACACCATCTGACCCTCCTAGCCCCGAAAGATCAGCCTCAGTTGACCTCGGAGGAACGTCTSCGCGGTAGAATTGAGTTCTACCCCAAAGGAGAGCCACATTTATTGAGGTCATTGGACCCTCCCGGGTGGACGGAAAGCAAGGACCAAATTGGCTGCGCCTTCGAATCTTCTATACATCGTCAACTCAGCTGTACTTCAGGCTGTGCAGTGTGAGTAAAGCCCACTGACCCATATCTCTAGCGTCTGCGTGCGGAACGGCGGGCCGTAGCTGACAAGCTGGAACGTCTGCGCCTTGTACCCCACGCCATCCCTATCCAGCAAAAACATCAGCCTCAGTTGACCTCGGAGGAACGTCTCCGCGGTCGGGAAACCGCTACCGATTGTCAGAACATAAAACTGCTGGTTCCCGCACATCCTGGTGAAGATCCGGCCGGCATCGTCTTCTTGAGGTTTGGGGAGCGCATCCGTGAACGACGAGGGTACAAAGAGGGTAGTGAGCGCAATGCCAGGTAATTCGCCAGGAAGTGTCCCATTTATCCTGATTGGCGATGCAAGAGGAATCGTCGTCCCGTCCACGTTTTTGCCGTTGAAGTAGGAAATGCCTTCTATGACGCCCTGATAGGCGGCGTCGTTGAAGCCGCCCTGCAGCTTGACCGTAACCCACCTGGCACCGGCGACATAGGTGCGGTTCTCATATCCAGCGTTGAAGGGCGGCCGCAGGATGCACCGAGGGGTCTCACGCCCTGCGACCGTCGGCCCACACCGCTGCTGCTGGAGCTCGCCGGCGTCAGCTTTCTCAAAAAACATGGGTACAGCGGTGGCAAGCAAGTGGCCATCCACTGATTCCAGTCCTCTTCTCGCGGCAGCCGTTGACGGCAWCAGCAGGACGGCAATCGCCACACCGGTGAGGGCAACCAGCCACCGCATGCTGGTAGCAGCAGCAAGAGGGGCCATGCGGGGACTCCGAGCCGTCACCCGTCTGCAGGCAGCATCCATGATGGCAGCAGCTACCGAGCCAACCGTGCTACGATGATAGTCTCACTCTCCTCGGATGAACAGAGCACCAGGAAGCTCCTTTCTCACTGCCCCGTACTCCACCGCCCGCCTCGCCTCGCCTCTCCGCCCGCTGCTTGGCGCTTGAAGTTTTGAACCGTGTGCAACCGCAAAAGAAGCACAGTGGCCGACTTCACTACAGGTCGTGTGCTGACGACTGGTCCAGCCACGCGTACTTATGCTTGCCTTGCCGCTGCGCACGCGCTCCCGTCAAGCACTCGGCTGCCTGCCCAAGCCTCTGGGCATACTCACACCAGGACTTGTTCGACTGAGCTCTAGACGCGGTTAAGCTCAGATGCATCGAGCTGCGGCCGTACTTGCTGTCAGATACATTCTGAAAAAGTCCTAGTGTGGGTATGCCCTCTGTCCTCCTCACAACCGTGAACTTCAGCACCGACTGGCCGCCCTCGTTTCCACTTTTTTGTCCTGAGCTCGTCTGTGAGGAGGGCAAGGATGGATGCAACACGCCACACACACGAGGGCTCTGGTTCGCGCAGCTGCTCTCTCGGACCGACACTGTGACTGT